GATTTCTGAGGTCTATATCTATGTCTGACACCTGCAGTGCTAAGCTGAGTACTTCACTCCCTACTAGTGTGGCATTCAGCAGTATTAGTTCCCATTGAGAGCAAGTGCAAAACACCCCAAACCACTGCAACCACCCCAAGGCAGGACAGGGTCGCTTTGCGGATGGAACTAAATGCTCATGACTTATTGGGAATTGAGATTAGTAGAGGATAGGAAGACTCTTCCAAGGATAATCAGCACACAGAGCGTGGAAGAATGATCTGTACACAGATCAAATGATCTGTGCTTCGGACAGTAAGAACTGAGTCCACACAGTGAAAGGACCACAGAAGACAGTGCTAGAGAGTAAACAGAAGAACTGTTAAGGAAGCATTAAGGGACCAATAGAATATTGGGCAGATGAAACTTAAAAGGTATTTGGAGAGGAAATAAAAAAACTGGAATGAAAATCTGGTTTTATACACGGTCTTGTTAGTGTAAAAATAAATATTCAGAAAGTAAAACACAACAAAATGTATCTGTTCTGCAAACATAACAGGCAAACCTCTAGATATCATTTTCTTCCCTTGCATTTTAAAAACTGATTCTAAAAAGACAAATAAATAAAAACATCTGAATTTTATTTGTCACACTTTCAGGTAGCTTTCTACCTTTCATTTCAGTAAAGAAGATACCTGATTTCTCAACTAACTTCCAGCTGTCTGCATGGTAGGTTTCAATTTGTCTGTTTTCCTCTGAACTTTAAAATGGGATTCTTTTATCATATGTACCTCCAAAGACTAATTATGCTTCAAGTAGACTCTGCTCACCTCAGAATGTGTTTGAAATGCCGGTCAGTTGAGCTGCTCTCAAAGCATGCTCCCTGTAGGATACCAGAGGAAGGATGGCAGTGAGAGCTAATTTGAAGAAAATAGTTTTTAACATGAAATTTTCCTGTCAAAGTGTCTGGAGGGTACCAGAGCTGAGACTGGGGAAAGAAGGGCTATTGGCGAGAAAAAAAACCCCTGGAGTCTTGAATCGTTGCCTCTTCTCACTGTTCAATGGATTTTTTTCCGTCACCTGATAAATGAATGTACCAATTCCTATGAAGGTGCTGTGCTATCCCAAGCTCATACCACGCAAAGAGACAAATCATGTAGTGAATATCGAAAAGTAAAGTAAGCTTTTACTTTAACTGAAAAATTTAAAAAATCCAGATGTTTTAGAAATAAAACAAAAAAATCCTCTATGCATCTGATCCCTAGGCTCTGTTACCAGAGAGGAATAATAGCTCACAAGCAACACACCAACACACCCGGGGGCCAAATTCACCCGTGAAGCCAGACATGAAAACAGGTAATGCTGAACCAAGCACAGATGTTATTTTTGGTATCGTTTTCAAGGACTGGCCCTTGGTGAAGTGTGAGCTTCATGTTGTATGACATGGAATATATGATTAACAGCAGAGCAAAAGACACACTTCTGCAAACGGGTGAGCAGTGACATCCCTGGAACAACCCTCATCATCTCAGTACCTACCTACATTAATATTCCCATCTTTTAAAGGAGGAAATTTACCTCACTCCCTAGCATTTAACTAGGCTCCTTTATTTACATCCTTTTTGTGTGAGTCTCTGTTTATGAAGGTCATTACCCATCCTGAATTCTAACCCCAGGAAGAGCTTACCATCCAGTCCAGGCAGAACAGTGCTCCTCATGGCCAGCACCAAACCAAGTGGCGACCCAAAGAGGAAGAAATCAGACACCTCAAATTCAAATCGGCCCAGGTTTACTTCTGAGAGACTGGAATCCACAGGAGGAAGGTCTGCACCATCTTTCAACACACTTGAGTGGATGCTGAGCAAAGAAAATGTACTGAATCAACAATAATGACGAGGGCATTCCCAAAACAGGCTGCTTAGAAAGCTCTAGCACCTGTGTTTAGATCCAAGCAATACACCTTGAAACTGTAGACTGATATTGCACCATAGCAGCCACTTACCATTTTTTCAGTGTGGCTATTCAGTAAATTTACTACTTTCAACATGCAAGAGTTTTCTACAGTTATTCTACAGAATACTTACTGGTAAATTATGCAAGGACTATGAAGATTGAAGTTTACCTTCCCTCCCTTTTAGCAGTACAGATGTATGTAAGCTTATTCTGACTCTTCTGCTACAAATTCTAATCTCCTCTAGCTGTGTAAGGACAATGGTATTAGAAGGTTACAGTCAAAGTATGCTACATGGGAGCATAAAAAGCATTGTTCCAATCTATTCCCTGACCTATGAACTAGAATTTCACTACTTTTCAACTATTTGTTACAGGTGACACCTACAGACAGCTTTTAGAGCGATTTAAACACTTCCATTTACTTTGTATGCCATACATGCATGAGGTAAATGCAGACCACTTATCCCTCACTGACAGAGAAAAGACTCTGCCATCATTTAGTTCTGCTGGAGACGAAATATCTACATTCAGAAGCAGAAAAGTAGCCTGTACACCTGCTGTCCAGCCATGAGACAGAGCAGAACATGCCTTCAGAGCATGGAGAGCCTGACTGAGAGACACTGACCATGCTGACTTCAATCAGAACTGTGCTCAGGAGTTATGTGCACACTACACACTGTATCTGTGGCCAAGCATGGATCAGAATCCAGAAATTCTGAAGACTGATCTCAAATCAGGCCAAACCTTCTTTCAATCTGAGACCCTAGTGACATTCTCAATTTATAACCCAATGTTATTAACTGTAACCCTGGGGACCAAACTTAGGGCTTCATTTAATGCAGAAGTGAAGAAAGCCATGAACTAGATCTATCAGCATGGCAGTTTGTAGTTACCTCTCTATGCCACAAGCACTTGGACAAAGAACACAATTACAGTGTGTAAGGCAACAACATTCCTTTAAAAGAATGATCTCTGTAATGATCATCACCTCATCACTGATATGCCTCTGCTAAATTGCAGTAAATGAGATAATGGGGAAAAAGGTATCAATGATCTTAAGCAAGTTCCACAGACAGGAAAGCAAAGGCTTGGAGCCTCTCTTTATGTACAGGGTCGGTCAGAGGATGACATGGTTTCGTTTCAATTGTTTTTTTCACCCTCTTTACCTTACCAAGGAATTTTTTCTGCTGTCTTTAGCCTATGTTTGTCCAACTGTTCCTCAACAACTTAGCAACAGCCTGAAGTTTGAGTCCAAAATGTGAGTGGAAGGTAACACTTCTGTCTGCTTGTTAAGTACAGCTCATGTAAAGCTTTCAGTTTAAAATCATAGACACACAGACAAGTGAAAAACCACCATTGTGCCTCAGAAGGAAAACACTTTACAACACAAGGATACCCAGAAAATGCAAGGTTTGAAAGTGAAAGCAGAATAGTCAATAAAAACAAAGCAAAGGGCATTCAGTCAAAGCAATAATATAAAATTACCTTAAACTGCTACTAAGAAAACTGCCTGACTTGAAATAAAGCACAGTAGGAAGTCTGCACTATACTCAACTAGCAGGACTGAAACTCAATACACAGTAAGACTTCTCCCTCTGCATCACTCACAATGAAATAAAGGAACAAAGATAATGGATAGAGGAAGCAAAAGCCCAAATAATTCAGATTAAAAAAACCCAAACAGCTTAGAACAGGCAGAAACAACAAGACAAAGGAAATGCTTATGTTCCCATCAAATCTGTATTTCAAAGGTTTCTTAAGATCACGGAAAGCTAATTAAGCTAACTCTCCTCCCCCAACCTCCTCCTCATTTAAGCCAGATGTTTATGCAGGGCTTTTTTGTTGTTGTTTTAAAGCTGATCTGAATAGCTCATAGACCACCTAAAGAGCACCTAAAGCAATTATCTCACGCTTTATAGAATAATAAAAATCCTGAAAATGAAGTCAGAGGGATCTTTAGACAGAAAGAGGTAACAGAAATTTACACTTATACAGTATTCATCCATCTTGATTTGAGTGGGCTGCACTGAAGAAATAGAACTTTGTGCATTCATTTTTGCATATTCAAAACTCTCACAACTGAATAAAGATTAAATAAAAAACACTCCACATGTGAGTAAGTTCATACTACATCCACTAGATCCATGGCGTTTTTTTGAGGGGTAGACAAGGACTTCAAGCAAACGTCCAGAAACACACCACAAACAGCAACAATGACTCTGTGCTCTGGTGCTGACAGGCTCCATTCAATGGCAAGGCTGTTTCTTTTACTCAGTCATTGAACACCAGTTACCTAGACAGGAGAGCATGATGCTGGGCTATAGCATCACAGTCATAGGTGGAGGAGTCACTTTGTTTCCGAGGCAACGGCTGCCTTGGCTCCTCATCCTCCATGATTCCCGAGATGTCAATATTGCTTTTGCTCAGGTGTTTGCTGTCACCCAGACTGGAGTCCTCTGCTAAAAGGGGATTATCCTTCAGAAAATGAACAGAGCAAAAGGAAGATTTAGACAAGACACCAAAATACGACAGAGCTTATATGAAATAGCTGCATTTATACATTTGACCTCACTTTATTCAAGAAAGGGTGGCAAGGGTTAGACTTCCTCTTTGCGGTAGAAGGAAAGAGATGAAGACTAAATTTCATTGTAAGATGCATAGCCTAAAAGCTGGAAGGAGAATCAGGAATGGGGGGGGCAGGGGTGCGAGGGGCAGAAAGGAGGAGTAACAAAAAGCTTTATCCTTCATGACTTCATCACTCTTAGAGAACTATAAATATCATAAGGTAATCAGAAGGGGTCTTACCTAAGTGCACAAAATGCCCACTACAACATTAATGGTCTTGTTCATCATGTTCCATGGATGTGGGACCTGATTTTTTAAGAATGTCAGCTTCTGCAGGATGCAAGAGACCAGTGCCACCATATCTTCAAGGTTATTTATTTCTTTATTGTTCATTTCCTCCAGCACTTCTGCAGCTTGCACCAGCATCCTCCCTGATATATGCCTATTACTTCCAGACTTTTATTCCTGAGTCCATTTCAGCAGTCCGTGCAAATGAGGCTTTTCAAAACAAATGTCACTGGACTGAAGCCCCCATCCATGTGTGAGATCTCTGTGCACAAGGCATAGCAAGATCTGGTTCTTTATAACGACTGTGCATACAGTCTGGGGAACAAGAGGCTGGGGAAGGGACCTGGGGGTCCTGGCTAATGGCAAGGGGAATATAAGTCAGCAGTGCCCCGTCAGCCAAGAGGGCCAACCGTGTCCTGGGGGGCATCAGGTCCAGCATCGCCGGCCAGGCCAGGGAGGGGATTGTCCCACTCTGCTCGGACCTGGGGCAGCCTCACCTGCAATATTGGGGCAGTTTTGGTCACCACAATATAAGAAAGATATTGAGCTGTTCAAGAGTGTCCAAAGGAAGGCAATGAAGGTGGTGAAGGCCTTGAGGAGAAGCCAAGGAGCAGCTGAGGTCACTTGGTCTGGAGAACAGGGGACTAGGGGGAGACCTCATCGCAGTCTACAACTTCCTCATGGGAGAAAGTGGAGGGGCAGGCACAGACAAATTCATTGAGGGAAGAATAAGTAGTTTTAAACGGACAGAGGACTAGATCTCTGTGAGATGAACCTAGAGAACATCACTGGGAAACTGGCTAGGCATTGTACAAGAAAGCAGGATTCAAAGTTTTTCTTTTCCTTCTTGCAAACATCTCTCTCCCAACACTCATTTACATTCTCTCTACCACTGCTCCCTGTTGCCATCTTCCTGGACACAGCATTATGCACTATACCACTGAAGTGTCATTGGAACACTTTACAATCCATAACCTCAAATACCCCAAATCAAAATACATTGTCATGCTCAGTCCTTTTAAGCAACTTGCAAAAAGTATCAACTCCAACCAGACAAAATAGAGGAGAAAGTGCACAAAGCTTACAGATGAGGGCTGGGGCATAATAGATCAAGTGGCTTGGCCAAAGACATGCAGACAGACTATGGAAAACATGCTAATTGAATCTGTTTCTCTCCAGCTGCAGAAAGAACAAGTTCATAGGACACATGAGCTATGAGGTGAACCTTTCCACACAGTTCCACCTATAGTCTTCAACAGCCAAGAGGATCTTCTGCCTTCTGTGACAAGTGAATAATTAGTCTTATTCCCAAGAGCCATGCTATTAATGGTGAGTAATTCTCCTTCCTGGAAAAATTTAGACAATGTCTCTTTGCTCGAGAGTACTTACACCACATATAGCTCTCAACTGGACCAAGCGGGTCAGTGTCATTGAGCCCATTTTTGTGGAGAGGTAACTCAAGAGACAAAACAATTTTGCCAGGGTCACAAAGCCAGAGTATGGGCACCTCACACAGTGTCAGCTCTAATTCACCACACCCACTCTCCATATGCACTTGAGCCCGAAGTACATAAGATCGACTGAACTTCAATTTTCTTTCTTAAGTGTCAAACACAATAATTAAGTTTATGTGCTGGCATCACATTAAAAACCTCTGCTTTTACTATCATAAAATCTTTCCTGGATCACAGGTAGGATTACTCCTTCCTTCTCTGCAACTGCAGCACTTGATAGACACTCAGTGGTCCATTCACAGATCCTCAGGTGACTTGCATTCCTTATGAAGAAAGAGGCATTCTTTCACCAGTCACTAAAACTTATTTGTAACACATCTTAATGCTAGACTACCCCCAGGCACTAGCATAATGAATTCCAGACCATATGTGAACAAATAAAAAAAAAATTTTAAAAAGAATATATTTTGACAAAAAATAGGAGCCTAACAGATTACTGAGACAGGACATGTTTGCATCTACAGTTAGGGATACCATAAAGGGCACTTGGTAACCCTATTTTAAAGGTTTACAGATAAAGCCTTCACTACTGATTTCTGATATCATAAAATTGAAGCTGACAACTGCAAATTTTTGATAAATGAACAAAATCCCATTCTATCACGGTAATTTACCAAATCTTTAATTTTTCTCTGTCTTATATGGAATTCATTTTCTCTAGGGTATGAATCTATAGGATTTCAGCTGTGTGGATTTTTTCTCTTCACCTGGATGCTGCTGATGCTTCCTCTCCTGCTACTGTTCCGACTCTCGTCAGCTGTATTAGAATTATAGCAGATGGCATCAAAGCCCAAAATTCCTCCAATGCAGTCACCTATGAGACACACCTGAGAAAATAGAAAGATTTTTGGGGACATGTAGCAAGTGTTTTAAAAGAAACAAAAAGCATCACAGCACTGCAGAGGAGGTCCTGTCTTACTTCACACCCTCGTTACTGGTTTTTACACCCTTGGTTCCTATTGCAGCTAAAAATGTGTAGCCACTTTCTTCCACTTCCTTTTATCTCCAGAAATATGCCCTATGCCAAGAATATCTGTCCCAGGGACTATTTTGACCAGCAGGAGTTCTGCCAGATGGATTAGAACTCTTACAGTTACTTGTAGCCAGATTCCAGCTCGAAAAGTTCGTATCACCAGATGACTAGTGACACAAAGATTTCCAGTCACTTAATATTTCCTTCAGAGTCATAGAGGGATGACAGACTGGTACTCTCCTGTCAGGACAAGGGAACAGAACTTTAAAATCAGGTATCAAGCAAAGAGATTCACTCTTGCTTCCCATTTAATATACACGTAGAAGCTACCTTCAAAGTATGGACCTGGCAATTAAAAAAGCATAGACTACTAAAATAGGGAGTCCAATAGTTGGAATAATTTTATGGCACACTAGAACCTTCCCCAATTCCACTGAACCCCTCCCCAACCCATAGGAGACGATTCTTGCTCCCTGTCCCCTCCTCTGTGTCTGAGCATGAGCAATAGCTTGACACCAGGCTCCAGCAAAGCCCCTCTCTCCAATCTCGAACTGAAGCCATCGTCTAGTCTGTTATTCCCAACTCCTATTAGTTTCCTTAACTCACTTCTAACCTTAATTCAGCTTGGCTACAACACAAAACTATAAGTTTTGGATACAGGATGTTGTGCACACTTTCTTCCAAGTGAAGATGTTAGGAAAAGCAAGTTCTTCAAGATGCAGGTAGGGAAAAACCTCAAACTTATCTCAGTGCATCTCCATGTGGCACTCTTCCTGAATTGAGTACATCTCTTGTACTCTTGTACTCAATTAAAATTATAAAAAACATTTTGAAAAATAAAGTATCAAAATACATTAAAGTAACATCTATCCTAAGACATTTCTGATTCTAAAGTTGTATACAATTGAACAGTATGCCAATTTACTCTCTGATTTTCAAATTCCTATACTGCACAATGAAGTCCACAAAGAACTGAAAATCATATGACACAAGTAACCTTAATAAAATTAATAACACATTTTGTAGGGAATTGTTAATAACTTCTTCAATTTAACAAGGCATTTCTAATCCTTATTATTATTGGCATTAAGGTGATGGAGTTAACTTGTTCCAGATACTGAATAAAATCAAAAAGGAAATCTCTGCTCTAATGAATTTGCTACATAAATAGACAGAAGAGACCAAAATATGAAATGAAAGACACACACACAGGGTGGGTGTCAGGATATATGATATATATTTGATAAGTACAGGACTTATTTGGAGGCAGAGTTGAAATTTCTATCTAAGGAGAAAAGCAAAGCACTGTAGACAGCACAGAGAAGTCACTTCCGTTTTAACAGTGCTGATAATTGTTGATGGTGAAAATTCTGTGGAGCACACAGAGATCAAGCACACTCTTCCACATGAAGTAATACATCTGATTCATAAAACACACCAAGGAGGCTTCTTTGTGGCTTTGTCAAAGAAAAAAACCATAACACTAAATTTCTATTGAGAAAACTGTTTTCATATTATTCTGTAACTGGTATAATTCTTCTTTACATAATTACACCTTTTGTAATGTTTTATCACTGTAGTTGGGCTGTTTTTATGCTTCCAACAAGAACAGTTTCCTATGCATGGTAAAACTGGCTTCAACCCAAATTTTAGTCTAAAAATACTGATATGTCACAGCATAATCTTATTACTGCTATGGAAAAGAATTTGTTTGTGTAATAAGACACATGCTTTTCTTCAAAGGTTACACTGTGCTCTATATATTAAATGTATTTTCTTTCTTTTTCTGAAGTGTGAAGGTCACTGCACTTAAGTGCACATTTCTGGCTATGTAGATGGCCCCATTGCAAAATAATTTCAGTAATTTACACAGAGTATCAATATCATATTCCTACGTGAAGCAGGAAAGTACTTTTTTGTCGTCTAAAGATGGCGAAGCAGGAACAGCAACTGATGTGTCAGTCAGAAGAAACCTCTGGGTGACTTCACTGGTGCGTGGGTCGCAACAGAAAAACTGCATGACTTTCCTCAGAGTTATACAGGAAATATGCAACGCTGCTGGCAACTGAGTATTTGTCCTCCATGTTTCTTTACTGTGAATTTTTTTTTTATTACTACTGTGATGGAGGCAAAAAAGAAGTAACACTACTTCAATGTTGGACTTCTTCTGATCTTAAAGGTCCCCTAATTTTTTCATCAGCTATAGCAGATGTGTGAAGAACTCATTAACACAGATTATCATCTGTCTTGGGCTGCCATGCTTGTTCACTGCTCAACATACCCCACTTACCACACAGTAGCAATACTTAGTAAGAGCTTAGGGGTCAAAATGCTTGTGGGAAAAGGTATATAATCTTCTACCAGTGCATAAGTCCACATTAGATAGTGCACAGGATTCTAGAAGTATCTAGAAGGTATTTTGAATACATGATCCCACGCTAACATTCATTCATCATATTTGCAGCATTATCTCACACACATAACTCAAAACCCTCAATACAACGGCTTAGAAAGAAACAGCCTTGCTCTGAAGGAATTTTCATTTGATGTAAGAGAAAACAGTCCTACCTGTCCATTAAAACCAGCCCCATCTGTAGATTTGAGAAACTCATTGTAAACTTGATTGGCTCTGCTGATCACCATGGAAACGGCATCCTGGTACTGAGGAGATGAAACAGCCAGCAAAGGCAAGGCAGCCAGTGGGATGTGGTCTTCACTGCTGCTGAGACAGCTCTCATCATAGCTGTAGGGATTTAGGCTAGAGAAAGACATATTATCAGGAAAACTGCAAGAGCCAGCACACAGCATTAGAGAATGGTAATTAACAGAAACGCTTTGGGCTACTGCAGTTCACAATGAGAGAACAAAGGAAGGATCATTTTCTCACAGAATTCAACTGCTTAAAAAAAATCAAGGAGTTACTGATTTAGTTGAATGAGATTACACTAGAAGGCCTTTCTGTAGTTAAACTACTTGGCATCTCCAGCAGTGATAACTGAGTCTGCACCATGGAGAGGGGGGTGAGAGGAGAAAGCAGAGGGGGAAATCACCCATGTGGTAACATTTGTTTGGATAACTATTGCACAACATTTTTTTTCCAATTATGCTTTGGTTATCTGCATTCCATGCTGACAGTCCTGGAGACTTGCTATTGCTGTTTCTGAATGCAAGAATACGCATTTACTTCCTCTGTTTTCAGGATAAAAAAAAAAAAAGAAAGAAGAGCATAAAAGTGTTTGCTTCCTAAACGTGTTTTGTTTTGGCCTTTTTTTCCTTCTCTCTTCTTCCCATCCCCTCTGAATTTGCAATGATTATCCTCCAGTTTGGCTGATTCTATAATTCAGAAGCTTTACTCTGAGGTGTGAATCAATGTATGCTCATCAAATCATATGCTATAAAAAGCATAACAGTTGATCCACTGCGGGATATTTTTCTCCCCGAAAAGGGAAGAAATGACTTGAAAGTCATCTATCTGGAACAAGAATGTGGCTTAGTTTTAAACCCTTTTTGTTCTTAGCCACAAAGATAGAGCCATTTTAAATTTACACAGGTTACATAAAGAATGTGTTTTTGATTTATATGAGAGACAGAGGAAACTGAAATGACAGAAGTAGATGGGAAAAGACCAGTTTAAACAATCCAAAACATTTACTACATGGAATGATTTTGCCCTGAAAGATCCCTTTCCTTTAAGCCACTATTTGCAAGGCAGAGAAAACTGCATAGGTACATTCACATAAAAAGTTCCAGCAGAATCCCTCTGAACCTGGGCACTCTGCACACAGGCACAGCATAATTCAAAACCTATGCCAAGGTAAACACCAGCCTGTACTACCTTGGCACACACTCACAGTGCATCTTCAGAAAACGGAGGCCACATTCAAAACAAAAAAGAAATCTTGTACTGCTGCTTAGTCAGTCATCTGGCTCACCCTCAGTGAAACATTACAGTAATTAAAACTACTCTTCCTCCATCACAGTTTGCTAAAGGGAATGTTTACCACAACTTTATGTTCCACAACTGCATTCTGGAGTTCTGGCTATGAAAGCTGCTGGCATGAAGCTGCAGAAATGTGAGAGCAGAGAATTATCTCTCCTTCTGTCAGCCCCAAATGGGTACATGTCAAGCAGCTCCACACAAGAACATACCACTGCAATATCAATGTTATGCCAGTGCTCAGAATGATTCTATAGGAAATTCAAACATCCAGGATGGTGTTTTTAACTCTGGTTGGATACTGTGTGCTGCAACAAGACGAAATAAAAAAACAGAGGTAGAAAGTCAAAGCTGTATTCATTTGGGCTGCCAGCACACACTCTTCCTTCTGCTCCAGCAGCTCTTCCTTCAGACAGCTGAGACCTGCAGGCACCACACTATGGCATAACAAAGGGACACTGAGTTCTTTGAGCGCACTTAACTCTCAAGGGATAAAGAGGAAAAAAAGCTTGTTAAACAATGGCCCAAATGGGCAAGGGTGATCTTCCAAACACTCTTTGATGTTTCACCTCCTCTTCTATAATTTCTGCTGCTTTACAGGGCAGCACCTTGGACACGGACACACTTCTTTCCTGGTTGTTTCTGTGTATTCCCCCTTGATGCAAACAGTCAGGTACAACTTCCACCAGTCTGGTCTGCACCCTGGCACCTCTTCCTCCTATATGCCTGTCACAGCTTTAAGTCCAGCTAGTATTTCAGAACTTTAATGTATTCTCCATCTCTCCCATCTAAGTCGGACATCTGGACAGCAGGTGTCACCATTCCTGGATCTTATGGCCCAAAACACGGTTGTAGACCTCCTCTTCTGCAGGGTTTTCTGCTCTACATGAGCTTCAAATGTAACCCTAGGCACTATACTGCAACAAAAAAGACCGTAAAAGCAGTCTTTTGGACTGTGTTTTGTCTGGGAAGCCCCAGACAAAACAAAGGGAAGTTTCTTTTTGCTTAGAAAACAGAAACCAGGAAAATCTGTTTGTCTCCTCCCCTCACCAGAGTTCACCAGTTAATTCTGGTCTGCACTTGTAGAAGAGCTGAAGCAGTCCCAAGAGCATGTGTTTCTTTCTTCCTTCTCTATTATGCCATTGAAAGCATTTATGTCAAGGAAAATATCTCTAAGGAAAGAAATGGTACCTGAAAATGTTCTCTCACTCAATGACTGAATTCCAAGACTGAAAAAGCATGTAGGAAGAGCAGCTACTGAAACGGATACATCCAATAATAAGTGTTTTTTAAAACAAATTCATCTACTTAGAAAAGGATGAAAAATCATTCCAAGTCTTGCAATCAGCAAAAGATTAAGAAGGACTTGCAACACCTCATTATGAAAAAGATAGGTCACAGAAAGCCATTCAAAACCACAATGCAAAGCCAAACATCAGAAAATTCAAATCAACTTACTTGGAAACAAGAGAGAAAGCTGCTGAACAGATTGCTGGGCAGGGAACAAGTCTCATTAGGATATGGCCCAAAGAGGCAGGGAAATGGGCTCGGGTAACCTTCTCAAATACAGAACTGAAGGTGTTGATGTCTGCCAGCTTGCTGCTGTGGTCCCCACCTCCAGTGTCTAAGATGTTCCCTCCATGTAGGATCAAAATTAACACATGAGTTTTGCAGTTCTGGTGTTGAACTCCTTCCTGTGAGAAAAACAGGGAATAAAAAGGGAGGAAGCTTTTTTATGGACATTGTTGGTATACCTGGTGTCAACATCAGTAGTGATTTTTTTTCTCCCACCCCCACTGTGATCATTTTGTGATATTTGCCTTCACTGGAAAGGGGTGGGGGTGTGTGTGCATGCCCCATGTTCCATTTCATTCAAGTATGTCTGACCCACGTAGAGCCCACTACGCTCTGACAAAAAACCCTGCAGCACAGATGTAGGTTTCAGATCAAAGATTAAAACAGCTTTGTGTACATCAAAAGCTACTTTAAATACTCTGAGACTGGAGAAGAATTTCAACCTCCACAGGCAGTCTAAGCAATCATCTACCTAAGTATCCTGAACGATTGCTTCATTTACTGGCAGGGTTCTCATTCAAATCATCAAAGGTTCTAAAAAGCCAAATTTCTCTGCCAATGAAAACATCCAGGAGAAGCAGATGAAACAGCTACCTCAGCCTCTTGAGACTGGCAGCTTCTTATTAAAACGAAAGATGGGGGTAATTTACCCAGACACTTATTGGAAAAGTAAAAAAATTTATCATTGCTTATATCCATAAAACTCACCAATAAATTTATGAACATGTGAATATGCACAGACAATAACCAGCTTCAGAGAATAAACAAGATATTTTCTACTTAAGACTGGAAAAGCATTTTGAATGTCTCACAACTCCACATTTTTTTCCTCTTTATCGCCTGAGAGTTATGTGCATTCAAAGAACTGAGTAATATATTAAAAGATTAGACTTTTTATTTTCAAATCTTGACTGCCATTTTCTTTTCACTTTGGATCACACGATTCCTGAAGACTTCTAGTTCCTGACCAAATACAAACACACAACTAAAAAAAACAGCAATATTTCTTGTACTTGTCTAAGGACTGTTAATTGCTAGATTGGGTGATTCACTGAGAATCAGGCAATGTTCTGGACACTTTATTCTTAAGTTCTGGAATGAAGAGAAATTGGTAACTTCAGCACTTGTATAATGGTGACAGAGAAATGGTTGAAAATGAGAGAATTGTAAGTTATTCCATAAAGCCGCTATCTCTGTTCAGCCCACAAATTTTAGTATTCAGTAGAAGTATTCACTGTGAAGGCATTTTGCTGACCTGACTTATATCTGCTTAAATACATGATTGTATGAGCTTTTTTAAGGTTCCACTTTTCCTTGCACTCATTTACAATTTCCCTCTCCATATGGTTCCATTCCAGTTATTCAGAAGAGCAGTTTAGTTCCCATTAAAAGGTAAGAGTAGTTCCTTCCACGACCAATGCCTGCTTGTAAATAAGCAGCACTGCTGATGGGTTGGTGGAACTGAAAGCTTCGAAACAGGTCTCTCAGCTGGATTTAACTGGTATCTTTCACAGGAAGACTCAAATGGAATGAAATTAATTTGCCTCTCAGCAGTAGCTCGGTCATGACTGAGACAAAGGGCTCAAGGGCTAATCAACTGAAATCAATCAATGACTGTCATAATTTTCAGTAGGAGTGGAATTCTTCAAAAACGTAAAAGTGGACATTTCCATTACCTGTCCTATGTGTGGACAGAGGACCTTAATCAGTTTGTTGGAAGGACCACAACTTAGATTCTTTCCTGCTTCTAAAACAAGACAATTGTGTTATTATCAATTTCATGAGTGCTGCTGAATCTGCTTCAAAAAACCTGCACTTCCACTGAAGTACTAAGCAGATATAACAATTTCTCTTCAGAGAACTGGGTCATATTTCCATCTAAGTTAAGTATTTCCAGTCTAAAAAGCTTGTGATGATTTTCAGTGATTGCACGTGCACCTACCAAACAAGGGAAAGACACACTAAGCCATCAAACGAGTTTATAATTCCATAATACAATATTAGAGTATTTTCACATGTCTACTCTTTAGAAATCCCAGCTTGTTTTAGGAAATAATCTTACCTCATTGTCCTCGTGTATTTCAACACTACCTTGTGCAGGGAACCTTTGTTTTCTTAAAGAGGCTTTATATAATTCACCTGAAAGGAAAAGAGGCATATTGGTCATATAAATATTTGTCTACCACATCTTTTACAGACAACTGTGTGTAAGGCACATTTCTAATTTCAAGACAGAAAGTTCAGTTCACAGGAAATCCTGTGGACAAACAGAAAAATATACAATATTAGAGGCTCTTCTATTCTTAACAGCAACATTCAGAACAGGATTCAGGTCCTTATACAGAGGTGTGTAGTACCAGTACAGCTGCTGTTGATCTGTGACTTTCTGAAGCAGCAGTAGAAGAGGTCACCTGAGGTTCTGCTCATCCCATACAGGTGTCTTAGGTACTCTGATATGTCTTAAATAGCACCTATATATAGGCAAGTGAACTAAGCCTTTCAAGTTCTCCGTAATCTTAATAATATGCCTTTACTCTTGGTCAGTCGTGAAGTGGTCAGGCAGTTGGACCACAAGATCATTGTAGGTTCCTTCCAACTGAAAATATTCTATTCTATTCTATAATTTCTGTAACTGGCTATGAAAAGGCTTGCCCTCTGAACAGAAAAGAAGTTGATGTACCACTATCCACTTTTTCTGTTTTGCACTGTGTTTTTTCAGTCATTGAAGAGAATCACTACAGGCTTTTTCTGGTCTCCTCATAATGCAGTATTTTTTTCTACCGCTGCATGTTACCTGGGAAACAGTTGTAAGATGAAATTTGATTAGCAAATGTTGCGGTGGTCAGTTCCTTGGGGAGGGCAAATGTGCTTTACTCTTCTGTCAATTGATGGAATTCCAGACAAGATGCAAATCCTATCCCTGTAACAATTCCTCCTCCCTCTTATGTGGGGAAGAGGAAGGCTTTGAAACCATCCTGAATCACGACAGCAGGAATTTGTAATTTAAAATTTCAGCTGACTGCAGTGTTGCAGCCCTAAAATTCCACTCATCTCACAAAGATTAGCTGTTCCTAGAGAAACTGTGAGGCCTTCCTCCCTCTATGACAGATACAAGTTTTAGGAGTTAAAGAGAGAGGATTGTACTAAATAATAATACAAAGTAGATAACGGACAGCTTTTGGTATCTAGACACCTTTTCCTCTGTTTCTTCCAGCGTGCCAGAAGAAAACAAATACACCACATAATGCTATAGATGACTCAGTTTACTTTTCCTTGGCATTTGGAGTTCATACCCTCTTTCTGGTTCCACTCCATTTGTTTACAGGCAGTCTGTCAGACCCTAAGACAGCGTTCACCAAGAACGTTGCTTGGTTAGGTTTGTCTAAAAGCACTGAATTTAGTCCAAAACAAATTTTGAACACCTGCATTAGGTGCAGGTTCTACCAACATCATTCCTTAAGAGTCACTGGAAATTTATTTAGCCTCTGTGTCTACATTTCTCCATATTTAAAATTGAGGTAATTATTCTTGCCTTTCTGACAGGCAAGGATTTAAGGTATTAGTCATTCAATATTTGTATAAAATAAAAGGGTACCACAACAAAAAACAAAATACCAGAAAGCAAATCCAACAGAGACAACATATACCCATAAACCCTGAGCTTCCACCAAATGCAATTGCTTTCTGGAACTCTCTGCAATTTAATGCTGACCTCATTATTAAAAAGCTATGTCAACAGTATGAAATTTATAAGTTCCATTTTTTGGGAGATCATCAATTGATGCCATTTAAAACATAAGGCTGCATTATAAAAAACAGCAGGAACTACTGAGCATTTTTTGTCAGGACTATGTATCAGCTCACTGAGAACCATACTATGTAGTTAAATGGCTCTTAGCAACACGTGGTATCAAAACAAATTAACATGAAATAGGTGAGTAAAACCAGAAAGTGACACTTGCCTATTGCTTATCAGATGCTGAACTATAAGGATGACAGCATACGGTCCTAAATTAAATGCAACCCCAATACAGAAACTGCTTTTCAGTCTAGGAGTCAACAGCCAGGAACAGTGGCTATCATCTAAGCCAACTAATTTATGACAAGGGAAGAGATCTACCATGTATTTCTGCAGACAGAAGATACCACAGATACCACCAAGCCAGTGTATCTGGCAGGGATTGTTTTAGACTCAAATTGCCACGGGAATTGCTACATAAATATATATTTCTACACACACATATACACATTCACCAGTGACTTAGGCACCAAGCAAGCTGTGTGTCTACAGCCTTGCCTGAATAACTCATGGCTCAAACAGTCTCCTCATGTGGAGTACATCAGATCTCAAGATCAGCACGAGAGGAGAGCCAGGTGAAAGGAAGAGCTTGGACAGTGATTCAAGACCCCAAAGCAGCCATGAAAAGCATCAGTTCAATACACAACCAAAAAAGTAAGTAAGTCCCCTGAATACAGGAGAATAGAATTCATATGATCATTCCCAAACTTCTGAGATCATGAGGTACAGTTCCAACTCATACTAAGAATCAAGCCAGGTCCTCTTTTTTTTTTCCCCCCACAGACCATTTCAAATATCCCTAATGCTTTGTCATGTTAATTACGGAAAAATTTAAAGTTTAAAAACAAACAAACAAACTTGCTTTAGCTACAAAGCATAAGGTGCTGATAGTCCCAAAAGAAAACTGCTATTCCCATGATTGCGCTCCCATGAGAAATGATGCTGTTCCTGCCATCTGCTGTGCTATTACTAGTCATTCATAATGATAAATCCGTCATAAGAAATATGTTCACATGAAGGCTGTGACATATGTTTTCTATTAACAAATGATAAAGAATCCTGTAATACACTGCAGATGCAGTTTTGCAAACTGTACTGTTTAGAGGAAAATAATGGCACGTGTCATTGAGCCCAATCCTGCTCTGGAAGCCACAACATAAGATGGTGCCTGTGTTAATTTCCATGATTTCTTCACTGAATGTCTTACACACATATGCTACCAGATCTTGTACATGACTACTGCAGAGCACTGGAGAAGAAGAAACACACAGGGTTAGCCAAGGATCTTAACTCCAAGTGCTCCCCAGCTCCACTTATCAGACCAAGCCAGATGGGAAAAATATGATTTCCAAAAGGGAAGGGGTTGGCACAGAGTGACAGCATGTGCTTATAAACACAGCTGCAGGAATAAAGAACAGACTGTGAACTCCAGGAAGGTAATGGACAATTGTCCCCAGAGAGAACCGTGATGAACATTAACACCATGCATTTCTGTAAGTCAATTCCTGCTCTTTAGCAAGCAATGCAAAAGCACAGAAAGATCAACAGCAGAGCCACATGTAAATAGACTCCCTGAAGCTGGGCACCAGTAGCAAAGGAACCCTAGCAACGCCAGGCTTGGCACTACTTTTTACTCCTATAGCACTCAGAAATTTTAATAGCAACACTTCTTGCATCTCCTTAAGCAGAGACAGAAGAAAGAAGTCCAGAGAACAAAATACCGAAGGCTCCTACACTCCAAATCCAGCCATGTTGTACTGTCCTGTATGAGCTATTGTGTATAAGAGCAGCTTCACCCTCCAGTGCTCTACTTCTGCCACTCCAGCCAACACTAAAAGGTACTAATGTGCTAAATAATGTCACAGGCACTTTCTTGGTACATTTTCATAATCCATATTGAAAATAATTAAATTTAAAATAAAACTTAAAAGAATCCTAGTCCCTCCACATGTATTTCTCTTCTCAAGGTAACAGATCACTTGGTTAACAAGACTACTGAACAGCCTCGGTACAAAGAAAAATGAGAACACCTTCAACTCACATTGTTTTTCCTGCAGAAAGCCAGATGAGCAAAATGCAGACTCTTCACCTTCAAAAGGAAGAAACCACAATGTAAACTAAAATCACTTTACATGAACTCTTTACTTTTTCTACTGTGTTGCAGTAAATATTTTGCAACTGACCACTATGGTGATTTCCATAACCCCCATTGGCTTCAGTGGGAATAGCTCAGCATATGACACCCTTGACAACTGCTGTAATCTGTTCAAAGTGGTTAGCCTTGAAGCTAGATTTTACCCTTTATATTCAATCTATTTGATAACCTGCAGCATTAGCCACTGAATCTCTAACTAAGAAATGGCATAACTTACCTAGCAATACAAAACAGATTCCTATTCCAAATATTTAATTAGCAGCTTTTTAAAGAATGTTTCTGCCCTTCCATTCCCTCCCAAAGTCCACCCGTCCAAAGAAAGTTGCAAGTACAAAGGGATTTTCTCAGATCTAAATACAAAAACCTAATATACCGAGACACAAGAACATGGGAATAAAGGCTCCTTCTGTAGATAAAGTCCTCCTACAGCACTCCAGCCATTTCTTCCATGGAGGGTAAACACCTTTGCCATCATTCCACCACAAGAGAAACCAAAGCGAAAAGGCATCACATCAGCCTACATCAACCATCAGAGCTGGGATGGGAACAGAGGTCTCTCAATCCCTTCTCTAGATTCCTTCTTCAGAGGCCCAGCAACATTTTTTCCTGGAGCCTACCCACCCCTTGAGTATGTGCACAGACACAGCGTCAGCTGCTGAGGCACAGCTGACTCAACAGCAGAGACCATGTTCTGTTGCACTGTTTGGCAACACAGAACAGACTGGCAAATGACAAGCACCAGGGAAGCTGGTGGCACCTCGGGATATGGGAATAAAACAGCGCACGTGCTGCCATCGCCTGCCCACTGATTTTCATGTGTTCAAATGAAAGCTTCTGCCCAGTGCCTTAAGAAGACTACAGAACTTGTAAGCATTGTTCCTCATCTCATGAATTAAAAATGCTGTCACACTAAATGCAACTAAGGTTAATATATAAAAACTAATAATAATGTTTTACTCCTCTGATGGACACAGCAGTACAGAATAAGAACTCTGAAACTATTCTCTTTTTCTTCAGATGCCCCAGCTATCACAATTGACTTGGTTTCTAAGACAGTAAAAAGAAAAGAAAAAATGACAGGCTTTTAATATACAGCAAAGAAATCTGCTTTAGTCCATTCTTTGTGCAAGCAGTACTTGCAGTACACTACTGTACTTCACTTTTGAAGAACAAAAATTATTTGAGTTAGCTACTTTCCAAATTTCACATACCATCTCTTTCCTTTTCAGTTCCTCACCAGGACAACTCACAGACTCTTGTTCTGACAAAGAGCTTGGGTCACAACTGTTACCTGCTTTCAACTTATTAGCGAAGAAATATTAACTGCAACAGCTCACAGAGACAGTCATTGCTCAGGCAAAGCAGCCATCAGTCACTGCCTTGGGATGAATGTGTGAAACTCTCAGGAATGTGAGAGATAAAAGCAAAATCTGGGTCTCCATGACAAGAGCACAGACCAGCCTTCTGAAGTGCTTGTATACACAATTACACTAATTACAATATGGAAAACAATGTGTTTCATGAAGAAAACTCCTTCCCATGGCAGCTTTGAATGGCTGTGCAGACAGAAACTCTCCTTCTCAAAAGGACAGAAGGTGAAGACACTTCCACTACAGAACTAAAACTCATTTTTAATTTGGTAGGTTTAAGAAACAGACAGTGTCTTTTTTTAAAGCCTTACTAACGAATTTCAACTTTGCATGTATGTTTTTAACATGTACATTTAAGCCTTTCAGTACATCTTACTGTGCCTGTTCCACATTTTTCATCTCATAGTAGATTTAACAGATTCTGAAAAAAAGCCACTTCTCTGCCCCGGAATTGAAAGATGATCTGCAATTACTCTATTTGCATGCTACTTAAAACAAAATTAGCAAGCAGTTTTTTGGGCAGTGTTGAAACCAGAATAGAAGCCACTTTGCTTTCCCACAAAGGATTGCTAACACCAGTAGAAATAAACGTATCTATTCACCAGAGAAAGCAACTGCAGGTAAAAATAAGATTCACAAAGTTACCTTTAGTGTCATGCCATTACACTTACATGTAGATTTGCAGACCTGTAGCCATTTCTCATTCATGTAGCTGTGCTCCTGAAATGTCAGAGGGCATTTTGTACAATTCTTGTCTCTCATTTTGCTCTTGCCTGGGATTACATTGATAATGTGATCACATTGATAATGGGATCAGTGTCAGAGGCCAGCATAGCAGAACAGTTGTGTACCTCAGCACCAGGGAGGTATCCAGGGGATCGTTCTTTTCTTTCTTTCCCCACACGTTCAATCTTGCAGTACTGGCTACAAGAGTGCCAACAGGCTTTATGGCACACAATTTTCTGTCTTCAATCATCTGAATTCATGTAACAACATAACCAGACCACTGGAACAAACAACTTTCATGCTCCACTTCAGAACACTCTTGCCTCAGCAAGAATACTGTGAAAATTAACTTCTGAATAGAAAAATCTGTTTTGGTAATTTTTTTTTAAATGCCATGGCAAATTTAAAACTGGTGTGAGCACAGTTATGTCAAACTTGGGAAAATAAAGAGAGAGGAAAGGAGGCAATATACCTACAGATGGTATGACCCTCTGGATGAGAATGGCAGCCAGGGAAACTCTAGGTCCAAAGAAACTGATGTAAGAACACATGCTGATTTCAGCATCGGACCGGATCTGAATGCAGATTGAAAAAGGAAAAGGGAAGGACTGCAAGGAAAGCAACGCTCTCTGCAGCAGGACTCAGCTCTCAGCTAAAAAATATCTCAGCAGCTAGTTTAAGCTTCTTCCACTTTGCATACAATTGCTGAGCTGTATTCTAGAACATACAGCATCAGAAAATTAAATTATGGCAGTTGCACAACACTGGTAACCTGACCTACTATAAACTGCTAGCAGTGATGATTTGCAGAAATCCAATCCACCGCTTCTCTCTAAAACCTGCTGCTAGAAGTAAAATCTGTTCTCTATATGAGCCATCTGATGTGTTTTGGAATGCTGATGACTATTGTAGTTTTCATCCTTCCCTTTCACTATCCACTAAGCCAAATATTCTGTTTGCCATTCTTCACATTAATAGGCAGCAGATGCTATTGCAATAAACTTAATAGCAGCATAAACACTACAGTCAGTTATGTAAAACCACCCTTCAATTAATTATATGAGTCCAGGAGGGCATGACAAGGAGAGGTAAATCACATGCTGCTAGGGGGAAGGAAGAGAGCAGTTTGTTTACACAGAACATTCACAGTGGACAAAATTAGGCAAGGCTGCCCTCAGAGAGAGAGAGACAGAGAGAGAGAGAGAGAGAGAGAGAGAGAGAGAGAGAGAGAGAAGGAGAACCACTAGTAGAAAGTAAAACTCACTATTAGCAGTCATGAGGGTGTAGAGGTTTTTGTGTTATATTGAGTGTTTTGACCATTGCATAAATGTTGGAGAACCTCTGAGATGCATGGCAGGTGTACCAAAGGGGACTGAATCAGTGAGCCAGTGAAAAATGAGACCCAGATGAAGAATTCAAAGGCACCTCAGTCTTACACAGAAACCCTGGCTTCCTGGGGGAGTTTAATGGATCCAACTCAACATAGCTTGTAATTTCAGATACTGTGGGTTAGTATCCACATTACAACTGACAAGTATCTTAATGAAAAGTCTAAACCGTGCAATGCAAAAAATTAACCATTCCCATTTAAGTGGAGAATGCTAATTCACAGTCAAGTTGGCATATCGGAAATATTTTCTCTGTATTCCCTTGATCTAATAAAAAAATCTAACTTTTTTTTTAAACATTAGAATTACAAAATTCAACAAAACAAGACTCGTGTAGAATTATACTAAATCATTTTATACACAGGAAATATTTAAGTGAGAAAGTAATATACATATCTGACATTATTGTAAAGGAAGATTACGCAAATATACAAATTATACAAGGAAGGATAACAAGAGAAAAAATCCAATCTTTCCTGAAAAAAATTAGCTTAGCAGTTGCATTCCTGCCATAATTTGCAGTTAACTCAGGGCTGATTGCTAGCACCTAAGCAGTTTTCCTTGCCAAAAGTGCATGTAACCATTGAACAGGGAGCTGCAGGCTCTGCTTTATTCCTAACCAAGCACCTTATGTACATATTTAAACACTGTATGACCTTTATTGTTTACTTAAAACGAGATTAACTTCATTTCACAAAAAACAATAGATGGTTTTCAGACTACAAAGTCTTTCCCCTTCCACAAAAACATCAACCTGAAGAGCGATGTAGCTAAACTTTCCTCTTACACTTAGGATTTGTACGTATTTGCAACAACCCAGCTGAATGTCTGATGAAGACAGATCGCTTGAAGTTGATTAATTACTTCTCTCTCACATCAACATTTCTGATAACACATGACTGGACAGACTCTTAATTTGATGGAAAGATAAAGCAATAGTGTTACACAGCCAAATTAAAAACTGTTTATGCCCTAAAAAATAATAAAAGAGCAATTACTTTCTCCTTTGCTTTCCTCCACCTTTCCTCCACTACAGGGCGAGATCAGAGTAAATCTTTGCAGCAGCTGTCAGTGTATCCTACCCTTCTGACTGGTATTGTCTTACCTTGTGCATTACTTTAGCCTAACCAGAGGTTCAAGAGGTCTGGGACAAGCACAAACACATTTTCATACCTGCTTAATGCTCTTGAATGCCCAGGACAATTTTTGGGAGCTTAGTGCACTCTGAAAAGCTGGTCCTTGCGCACAGTCCACTCAAAACCAAACCAAACTCTCTCAAAACAGAAGGAGAATCACTGTCATCAACTTAAGTCTTTATAGCAGCCTTCTGCACACAAGACAACAAAAAACATGAATTCCAAGTAGATCAACAAAAGCTATTGTGAATCCTAAGGCTTTGGAAATGCAATGTCAGCACCAAAGGGTGCCCAGTGTACAGTGTGGAAGCAGA